ACTGAATTTCCAAACGCAATTTTGTGCGGCTCCTAGTACATGCTTTAAATTTTCAGAAATTTGGAATGGTCAAAGACTTTATTCACTAAAACGATTTCCTCAAACGTAGCGGTACTCCAGCTTTACACCGAGGACCTCTTCTTCATCATAGTAATCGCGTAATCGTTATAGGTGTTATTTCCGTTTTCGTCTTCAATATCATCGCCGTTTTCGTCGTCTAACCCGTAGCTTTCGTCCATAACTTCCTCCTCGACTCCAACGCTTTCGAGTTTAAACGTTATCACAGGGACCCTGCTCAAGTTCGATTTGAGGGTGGTATTGACGGCGTTCTGGTGAGCAAAACCTACAAAAGAGCTTTGGTAAAAACATTATGGTGAAAATGATTATTTGTTTCACAAGAATGGCGGGTTGTGAACAAATCTTCGCCCGGACGGTCTTTCAGCCTCGCGGTCATTGCCGATATCGGCTAACCGGCTCAACACGTTATACGTGTGAGTGCTGACAAGCTATGGTAAGTATACCATGAAAAGCTGAGTTGGAATGAAATGGTGCCCCGGTAGCGTAACTGGTAGCGCACTTGCCCGGAAAGCGAGAGGTGCGGGTTCTAGTCCCGCCTGGGGCGAAAGTTTTGTTCACAACCCAGCATTCTTGTGAAACATTCGCAAGGCGAACTGCGGTCAAAACAGCAGTTAACAATCAAAAACAAGTCAAAATGCTTATTCAAATGACCTATGTACCTGTAACCGGTGCGACGTTGGTCTTCATGTGTTTTGATTTCAACTCCACCTTTCGTGCATCCTTTGTCGTCAAATTGAGATACCTGTACCACTTCACGATTTTCACTTCTACGGTTTTGTTGTCTGGTGCCTTGAAATGCAATTGAATTATATACCAATAATTATAACTAAGTCATTCGGGGAAAGTAGTGACCGTGATCCAGTAGTTGCATCTCCCAAAACCGTCTCTTCCGGGTTCAGTCGAGTTGAGCGGGTCTTCAAGCGGTGTCCAATTTTGAGTGCATTCAGTACTGCACCGCAACCAGGTGGCTAAATGGTTTGTTAAAGGATTGCAAACATCAGCTGCAGCAGAACGTTCACCCTTTCAATCGTAAAAAACGTGTCCGCCATATCCGCTGGGACAAATGCATTTTGAGCAATTACGTGGATGAGCGAATCCACCATTTCTGCACTTTTCGACTGCGTCGGGCACAGCCTTACATGCGGCTTGAAAACACAATACTATTACTCGAACATTATGCGCTAAAAAATCTTCATGTGTTGCTACGGTGGAATTTTAATCCCACATCATCATAAGAAGTCGTAGAATGAATAATATGGGCATCATTTCCCAGAGTGCTCGTGTTACAGTACATCTTTGGGTATCACATAAACTTTCCTGAATGCCTGCGTTATAATACGAAAATGCATTAATAATCATAGGTTTGCAGTTTTTCTATCTCTCCATAAACATAATATTTTCCTTGTAGCTCCGTAGTGCATTATACTGCCGTAGTCGTACGTTAAATTGTAATTATTATTGGTATCCGGCGTTCTTGCTTTGAACTGGCTCAGCGAGCTACACTGAAACTCACAACATATGTGTTATATAGTTTCACAGTATTCACGGATCTTACGTTGATATTCTCTTCAAGAACCGTAATAAATTGATCACGGTCGTGTCTCGTATGCGTATGTGAGAATCCGAGAGCATGACCAATTTCGTGAGCTGCGGTTCCAACCTAGTGAAAAGAAGTGGAATAGAAATATAATAACACCACAGCGAATTTAGGGAACTGTTGAGCTTGTTTTCTGTTACACTTGCATTTTTGAGGATAAATGGGATCACCCTAAGGTTTCTTGAAATCGGTACCGCTTCACATCCTTCTCCGAGTGAAATTAGCTGCCATCCTCCGTGTCTGCCCACCTCTGCCCAACATCCGTATCCTTATACACAAGAATAATGTCCTCAGCTAAACCACTAAGATCGATTTGTGACTTGTTATTTGAAATTCCTACACGATACATTCTTCAGTTTCATCTTCCTTGAAGTCAATGCACGTGTCGTTCATCCATAAATACGTTGCATTCTTGAAGGCTTCTTTCGTACGTTTGTCTTGACATTAAGAGAAAGATTTTGTAAATTCTTTGTCCATATTGCGATAAGAATGTATAGGTAAGTAACTGACCTAAACTGTTGTCGAGAGTGTAATTGACGACATGTGGCCATCTTACATCAGGGTTGGTTTTATCAATGTAGGCTTGTCGTTTGGGTCGACTCTCGCTATTCTTGGCAATCTCCTCCTGCTGTTCTCTAAATGCAGTGCAATTTTTTTCACTATGTTCAAAGAAGCGAAACAAACTTAGAAAGAAGCATATCTCCTTGAAATAGCTCGTCCGCAACTCCAGCCTTTACGTTGACATTTTCAATTGATTGTTTCGAGCACGATTTTTTACATATTCTCGACTTGCATGTCTAAATGTTTCGACATGTTCCTTCCATTCAAGATTCTTGAAAACATCCGCTAACCCGTTTTGTTAGATACTGTCTTTGTTCTGGACTCAGAACGATTCCCTCTCGTAATGTCCTGTTGCATTCGTTTTTCCAGTAGTTGGGCATGTTTTCGATATCCTTGTGTAGTCACTCACTTCAATAGACTCTCCGTCAATCTTTTAAAATTGTTCTCCTACCTCTTTGATGCGACCCATAAGTTTTCCCATCATGTGGGTCTGCTTTCC